TTTTTCGTATTCAAATATACGAGATATAAATTACGTCAGTAATGATTATATTATTGCCTTTAGTATTTTGCGTTTTAAAATTCTCAAGCTGTTTTTGTCTTTCTCAGATCAGCTATTAGTGTGTTCAAGCCATGAAACATTTTGAAACCAATAGTCTGTTTCAAAAGATCACGTGAAACAAAATAATGGAGAGTGAACAACACACACACAACAAAAAATCCTGTATGTGATTTAGTTTGTTTCAGAAGATGATGAATTCATTGTTGCTCATATTTGAAAAACATAAAGATACTGTTAGGTTTAAAAACAACTGGAACTCGTGCTCCTCATTCTGCCGTTTAAAAAAACAACTTAAAAACGTACCATGTAAATAGAGGTAATATAGAAATGTATAGACAAATGAAATATGTAAGAAGAACAAGATAAATGCTTTTATTATTTACGTACCGTAAGTACTTTCACCAAAGTTGGACTATTTAGACATTAATCATAGTTGTGAATGAAGTTACAAACACTAAAATTACTAACAGGGAAAAAAAACAAAACATATGAACTTAATATTTTTAACAATTAAGTGTTGGCTGGAATATTTTTTTCTTTCTGCTATACTTAACTGGATTGGAACCACCTGCAGAGACAATGTCAAGCAGTGACCAGTGCTTTTGAAGGACTTACAAGTTACTGAAAAGACTTGTTTTATTTACTGTTTTCTGACCAACTGAAAAAAAACTATCCATATACCTAAAATGTTCCAGTGGTTATAAGGTTGGTCAAAATTACCATGACTATATACATAGAGTAAATTATGAAATAGCCCATTAGCTGTTTCTGGTAGACCTACAACCTACCAGAAACAGCATGCTAAATGTGCAAGTACTATGTTCCATTATTCCAGTATAGACTTGATGGATCCCGATTTAATTGATGCTAATAAACAGCATGCTAAATGTGCAAGTACTATGTTCCATTATTCCAGTATAGACTTGATGGATCCCGATTTAATTGATGCTAATTAACAGCATGCTAAATGTGCAAGTACTATGTTCCATTATTCCAGTATAGACTTGATGGATCCCGATTTAATTGATGCTAATTAATTCCCAATATCTCAGTTTTGTGACTCGCATGGCAGTTCAGACACGTTATACAATACTAAAGCTTTTCAGACTTACAGTTCATGTTGGCACTAATTTTAAGTTTATTTGACTGTGTATAATATTTTTCTCAGATGTAAGATCCTTCGAATTTCGACTGTTTCAATATTCCATCGAATTTATCCAAGATGTTTTGTATTGTGTATGATAATAAAATGGATATTTCTTTATTTACTTTTCTCATTTTCTTTTGGTTTCTGTAATTTTCTTTCCAGGAGTTAATTAAGATCATAGGATAGTGCAGTTTTAATAGAAATCCTTTGGCGATATTCTAATAGCAGGTATATACACAATACTCTGTAAGGTAATCTAAAATAAAGCTTGGATCCACTATAACCAAAAATTGGACTAAAAAAGATGCATGAAAGAGTTAAATCTTTGTTCCGTAACCGTGGATCTAAACTTTTTATTATTATTTATTTGGTCTCGTCATTAGACCAAATTGTAAAAAGTATTCGGTTAAGCTGTACGGAATGTTCATTTTTGTTTTAATGGATGTAATGTATAAAGAAGTTCAAATACAGCTGAACAACAGCGATTTTTTTATAATAGATGTCTGTAGAGTTATTTTTGCCAGATTTCTTTATTAGTAATTTATTGTTATCCGTTTCCGAGGGTTACGTAGATCAGTGTTTCTCAACCACCACCCTGTGGACCAGCACTGGTCCGTGGGATTTCACGAAAACTGACAGAATATTCTCGTGTAAATTAGAACGTTTTTTTTTATTATTATTATTATTATTATTATACTTGCACTTTGGTGATCCATGAAAGTTTAGAAAGGCAGTGAACTGGTCTCTGGTGTTGAAAAAGTAAAGAAATGCTGGTGTAGATAATTTTATGTAATTAAACAAAAAATTAGGATCATCCATTCATTTGCTCCAACCATTTAAATACCTCGTCTAGTTTTGTCTTATGTATTTAGTAAATTCGTTTTCAAAATCTTTCTTTACAGTTTTAACTAATTTTTCTTCGAAATATTCCATAATTAGAAGAAAAATATTTTGTAAGATTTTTCCAGCTAACACTAATTGTTAAAAAATATTAAGTTTGAATACATTATTGTCCATTGTAGTTACTAATTTTGCATTTGTAACTCCATTTGTATTCTCAATGGTTTAGTGCTATATTTTACAATGCAAGAGCCCTTTCAAAATTTGTCAGACGTGTGACATTACCATCAAGTTACAGATTCAAAACCTAAATTTCATTTCTGCAACTCCATTTTAAATAAAGAAAATACATACATACATTAATTATTTGAGATGACTTACATTAGTACTAAATGCGTACATTACCAGTAGAAAACATGCACTTACCTTTAAATTAAGCAGTGAGGGAAAAAAAACAACTGGTCACCATATAAAAGTCACTAACATTAAAAATACATATCTTCTTAAGTTACTATATTTCTAATTGCACTGCAGTACTAACAACTTTGTAATGACTTGCACACTTACTGTTCTGCCAACACAAATAACTAAAAAAAAAGTGATCTTTGCTCTATAATAATATAAGTAAATAACCATGTGATATATTGCAAAAAATATTTGCCTGAGCAGTCACATTTAGAGAGAGAGAGAGAGAATGACATTGTGTGCGTGTGTCTGAGAGAGTTCTACTAGTGGACACGAGAAATCATAAATAGCCGAAGTGTTCTCTGGCACCGAGAATAGAAAGACATTAATTTTGGGTGCAAACTGAATAACTTATCTTTAAAATACATATTTTTACTTTCTGAAGTGTTGCAGTTCTGCTCCAGTTTGCGACAAAAGACGGGATTCTTTTTTTGAGACAATTTACTCTGTAACTCATGACATATTTCAAAGTTCTAAACGATTATATTGCACTTTTTTTTTTTTATCAAGTGACATGCGTAAAGCTTGGACATGTGAAATATTCCTGCGATTAAATGTTCAGTATTAAACACTAAAATCTACCATGTTTTCTAATACAGTGTGCAGTCCTCGTGACACGAACATACGCAACTTGCAAAGTAAAATCTATATGGAGAATGTCTAAAGAGGATTCATCCATAAATAAAGGTTGCATTAATCTTGAAATACTCCTGAAAAATGTTCAGTACATTTCCAAAACAAACAATTGTTTTGTAATTAAACAACAGTTTAACTATCAACCTGAAAAAACACAGTTTTTGCCTGAAAAACCAACAACAAACAAACAAAACTGATAAGAATCTTTGAGTATGACTTAATTCTCCGGGTATGTCATTTAGGGAGGTTTCCACCTTACCCTTCAAGCTCAGGGGGAGAGGACCTTAGTGGCAGTCTCTGAGAAATATCTATAGTCAGGTCATATTAACACACATACATAAATTATTTTGTAGCATATGGCCCTTAGCTAAACTGAGGGGTTGCAAGTGAGGTCATGCTTCTTTGTGGGCCCCTTTCTGTGTAGATAAATTGTGGGTGATAACTTTTTTGTATAAGACCACTCCTACTAACACAGTTAAGAAAGTAGGGTTCTTACATTTCAAGAATACATTGAAAGTTCAAGTATTTGTTTAAATTATTTAGTTAAAAAACTGTACATTACTATATTTTAAATTTTTCAAGAATGAAACATAGTGGCTTGTAGTACAGTCAGTTTGATACATGTACAAGCAGAGGAAATTAACAAAAAAAGCCATTTTACCACTGGGGGGGTTTTCTGATGAAATAAATGTGATATTCTATGGGTTAGCAGAGTTGTGGTAATTAGGTACTTGCGTCTCACTGTGTTAAGTAGGAGATAATAATGTTTTATTTATCTTTTTTTCTTTTCTGTAATGACCTTAATCCGAACTAGTTTGGGGTGTCAGGTGGTGTTTTTTAAGCCCAGAACTTTTACACGCGGGTGGCCGGCCCAGATGGCAACCATACAGGATGAGCACGATTTAGAGATAGGGATTCAAACTCAAGTTGAGCACCCCAACCACCAGGCCACGTTTCTTTATTTTATCAGCCAGTTAAAATTAATTTAAACCATATTATACATTTTTTTTAGCAAGTAAATACTAAGACTGACAGTAGAATGTAAAATAACAGTATGATTTCAAATGGCCAAAATGTTTGTATCCGGTGTTAATTAATTTATTCAAAGCTCCTTATATCATAATCTCTCACTGCTACAGGTGTACGTATGTATATACGATACACGCTACAGGTGTACGTATGTGTGTGTATATGTATGTACATACGATACACGCTACAGGTGTACGTGTGTGTGTGTATGTATGTACCTACGATACACACTACAGGTGTATGTATGTGTGTGTATGTATATACGATACACATTACAGGCGTATGTATGTACATACGATACACATTACAGGTGTACGTATGTGTGTGTATATGTATGTATATACGATACACGCTACAGGTGTACGTATGTGTGTGTATATGTATGTATGTACGATACACGCTACAGGTGTACGTATGTGTGTGTGTATATGTATGTATATACGATACACGCTACAGGCGTACGTATGTGTGTGTATATGTATGTATATACGATACACGCTACAGGCGTATGTATGTGTGTGTATATGTATGTATATACGATACACATTACAGGCGTATGTATGTGTATGTATGTACATACGATACACATTACAGGTGTACGTATGTGTGTGTATGTACATACGATACACATTACAGGCGTACGTATGTGTGTGTATGTACATACGATACACATTACAGGTGTACGTGTGTGTATATGTATGTATATATGATACACATTACAGGTGTACGTGTGTGTATATGTATGTATATACGATACACATTACAGGTGTACGTGTGTGTATATGTATGTATATACGATACACATTACAGGTGTACGTATGTGTGTGTATATGTATGTATGTATATACTATACACATTACAGGTGTACGTATGTGTGTGTATATGTATGTACATACGATACACATTACAACTTTCGTTATATTCCTGAAATGTGTAATATTAAGTAAACATTCTGAGGAATATATATATATATATATATATATTTAATAATTTTATAATTATTTAAAAAAATCATAAATGTGTGCTTATTAATTTGGAAATGAGGGAAATAAATACATGAACAGTTATTTTAATTATTATCATTTTTTATAGTCAGAGAGCATTTTCCTTTGTGAAATATTTCATGCAACTATCGCAACAGTTTCACGTTGATGTGACAAACATGGCACGAGGAAAGTTGTTTATCTAGAAATGTGGCAGTGAAAAAGAATTAAATCTTTTTTGTTGTTGTTGTTACACAAACTAAAATATTTTAGATACATTTACAACTTTAAACTTGTTGGTTTTCTTAAATCAACCATATTTGTTGGAATTGAATTTACATTTTAAGCGATAGCATCTTAAATTTTCTATCAGCTGTTATAACTAGAGAAATAATGAAATGTAAGAACATGAAACTCATCTTTCCTGGTGGAAAAATGTTTCTATTACCCTTTCTGATGTTTTGTTTTAATATATATATATACACACATGACTGAGCAAACAGCAGATGTAGTAGGAAAGGAAAAAAAAAAGCTAATAGAATAATTTTTTTTTCATGCACACTTCACTATTACATATCAGTTATAAAGAAAAGTATTTCTTCAAATAACTTGGACAAAGAACAGACAGACACACATACTCAGAGCATGTGGGAACAGTAACTTGCTTATGAACTAGAGATTCTGTCACGAAAATCTTCAGAACTATTTTCCTTGTTTGTTAATATTACAAATACACGACAATTACAACAATAAAAATCACCGTGTGCAGCGAAATGCACAGAAACCAGCACTTAATACAGTATGTGACGCAAGGATAAGATGCTTTTTAATAGGTGAAGAATGAAAACTGGTCAACTGAAATATGTACAAAATTGCTGAGAAAACTCGACAGGAGTTTAAAGGCACATACACACAAACTCAATAAGAAACACTTCTTTGAACTTTCAGTTATGAGTTAATCCTTCAATTAAAATTATCTTCCTGCAGACCTAATGATAATAATTAACATTTATAATGAAATAATCCAGAAAGTTCAACAAAATTTAACAAAATCAAAGACATTTTCTTCGAATCTTCTTTACAATGACTAGAACTAATTACTTCGTTCTTAATTTTGAAAGTATGTTCGAAAGGCTAGCCGGAAATGACTTAGTAAACCTTCCAGGTAGCTTTAATTCTAGAGGAAGTGGTGAAAGGAACATGGGTAGACATTCATGTTCTCCATAAAGGTTTAAGAAGATTTTTCATTGACGAGAAAAGGCTTTTTCTTTCATATTTTGGAGAGATAATACCTTTTTTTCTGTTTCTTCTCATCTTGCCATCTGTTTCAAAATTCTTGCTCTGTTTAAGAGATCTTGATTCTGGCTTTAATGCAAGTGTTGTTGGTCGTTTGTTACCAGCGTTGTGATCCCCTCCCTGATGAGTAGTGACCTCTGTCGGCAGGATGGGAAGGCCGTTCCGGGCCTCGATCATAGGCTCCGCGATCCGAGATGTATCTCCCTCTATCTTGTGGAGGAATATGGTCCTTTTCAGTGCCTGTGGCCGGGTGGGTTGTGCCTCTGGGATACTGGGATGGTGGTTCTCGAGTTTCTGTAAAACATCAAGGTTAAGTTTCAATTCCAAGATAAACCAATTCAAAAAAGTTACTTTTGTCTAAAGGTACTGCAGCAGATCAGTTGTTTGCCTGAAAGTTTTATTTTTTAATAGTTTTGAAAAGCGATATCAATAAAACAACTTAATCCTCTTTAGAAAAGCAGTTCTATTTTGTCAGATCTAATACATACAATGTTTACAAAATTAAGCTTCTAGCCATTATAATTCATTAGTTTTTCTACCATTTACAACCAAAAACAGAAGGTATGATTGGTCAACATTTGATGTTTCAAGAATAAAAACTAAAGCTGGAATTTCAGAAGAAATCTGGGACATTTCATATTTTAGAAAATTAAGGAAGTATTCTATATTTATTTTATTCCAAGTTTCATTTTATATCAGTGTAAAAAAACGTTTGGGAAATTACACTTTATTGTTAAATTTTTATTTATTTTAAACTTTGGCAATGATGCCTACAGGTGGCGTACCAATCATAACATATTAAGAATGTTAATTCCATAACCTGTGGAAGCACCCAGGATATGTATCACAAGTAGAAGTCAAAGAGATTTACTTGTTTGTTTTAGAGCAAAGCCACATTAGGCTATCTGCTGTGTCCACTGTGGAGAACTGAGCCCCTGATTTTAGTGTTGTAAGTATGTAAACTTACTGCTGTCCCACAGAGGGACTATTTACTTAGAGGATGAATATCAGTAGTGATAGCAAGTGTGGAAAAGATATAAAACAGAGGGTAGGAATGACAAAAACAGCATTCTTCAATCTCAAAGAACTGCTCAGGACAAACTAAAAATGTTACTTGTAGTCAATCTTGTACAGGGTGGAAATATGAACCCCTGTCTGCTGAGACAAAATGGCAGCTGGTGTTATAGATGAATCACGAAGATTAGCTGTATAGGAAGAAAAACTAATGACGAAGTGTTGGAAAGTGAAAAAGATACCTGCTGCATGAAAGGCAGGCAGAGACTCACTTGACTCCATGACATTACAAAATGAAGATAAGAAGCTTGAATTAGGAAAGTTGGTGCAGGCTGTGAGGAACAGAAAACAACGAAGAACCATAGCTGTCGACCCTCATAATTAGGTAGGATATCATGATTCCCAATTAAAAGCTAGCAATAGTCATTTCATTTATCATACATTGTAAACTAGTATTTGTATCTTAATTAGATACTAAAAATAAAACATTAACACTAGCCAATGTATCACCAAATTTATCAAGAGTGTGAAAGAAATAAACATTTTATTATATATATATATATATATATAATATCTACAGAATAAACATATTCAATAAATATATTATTATTTCTACAGATTCATGGTATCACATTGCTCTTCATTTCCTGCAGAAGATGATAAGAAAGCAGTCACCAATAAATATCAAATCTTGTAGTAAAAAACGTTTAAAATTTAACACAACTACCTTTTAATGGGGAATACAGATTGATTTCCTGGAATATGTTTTCTTAATGATTGGTTTTTGTTTTAATCCATTCCAAAAAGTAATTAACAGAATAATTATTTATTGTTATCAGTAAATAAAATTGGTATAAAATGCAAATATCATGGGTTTGCTCTGTGGTATTTTCAGGTTCACTGATTTCCCTCGGAATAATCCAAGTAGGAGCTGCATAATAAAAGGAGTTTTACCATTTATGGATCCAAATATGACTTTTCCAGCCTTGAAGAAAAAGAAGATTGGACACAAGTTGAACACAATGAAATAATTTTTATTTTAAACCCTCAAAAACAACCAAAAGGCAAAACAAGTGTATTGTTTCAGCACCATTACTGGAAAGCTCAAACATCATAAAATCAATCTGTAGCAAAATCTAATCATACTAAAACCAGGCTGGAGACTGGGAAAACATGACATTATACACTAAAAACAACAATGCCATTGTTCACAGGGTGCAGGTGCTATCCACATAACTGATGGTCACTCTCACTTCAAAATAAGAGATGTCTCCTTGAGGCATCACCTGACTTGCCATTAGAAAAGATCACTGTATTTCTATACAGCATCCTATACATCATAGGGATATTCCCATGACAAAGTGCAAGTGATATTCTAATTGAATGACCTAGTTCTGTGAGTACCTAAGCTTTTTATATCAAGAATACAAATAACAAGAGAGAAATCTTGAAAAAAAAAATTCACATCGTATGCTGGCAATGAATACTAAACTCCACAGTACATTCATGTGTTGATAGTTTACATTGTGACTGCCTGTCATCCAACAAATCAGAAAGTGCCGTACCAGTATAACACTGGTACAAAAGTAGAGGCTGTTAAATTATTCTTAGCAGTATTATGGTAAATGCACTATGGCTCTCAGGACAAAAATTCTGTAATCCCAAAGGACAAAAAAAAAATTTAAAATCAAAATTAATTTCTTCAAGAACAAGGTCTGTTTGGCAGGGATTTATCTTCCAGCAAGACAGTGATCTCAAGCATGCAGCAAATGTGGTGCAATGATACCTGGAGGTAAAAAAAAGAAGGAGTTCAATGGAATACTTGCAATCATTCCTCAGCCTGCTCAGTGTCCCAGTATGACTATTATTAATGGTTTATATGGAAAGTGAGAAGTTCAAACACAAACAAACAGTTTGGCTGAATTGTGGGGAGTGATGCGGAACATTTGGAACAACATTTCACAATCATACATTGATAAACTTACTTAAAAGCAAGATGTACTGTTTTATTTAAAGAAAATACAAAATACTGTAGCACTGTGCAATTTATCTGCTTTCATTTTGTTGCTTCTACAGTAATGTATTGAACAAATAATAAACTGACCATTTAGTTACAATTACTCATTGTCTGTAACTCTTGCATGTGTAGCTCTTGTATATTTCCAATACTGTATATATCTCTATGTATATGTGTATTTTTAATCCCTGAAAATAACCAAAAAATACTAAAGCGTATTTTGATTTCACACGTGCACCACCAAGTCAAATTTCTTACCCCTAATAAAAATCCTCCAAACATTATGGTTAACATGACATAAATTCACAGAATAGCTCTATAACCAAACAAGTAAATAACATGACATTTCAAATATTTCAATATCGTATCTATACTGACAATTCACTACAAGACATTTAGATAGCCAAAGACGTTTTAAGTATATATACCTCAATGGCTAACTTACTATTACTGTTAAACAAATAGATGCTGATTGGTTAGCTTTTTGCTATCAGAGATGCATGCTGATTGTCTGGCCCCTGAAGGTTATCCATCAGGAGGCAGCACCAGCAGACAAGTACTAGAGTAAAAACAAATGAGATGCTGTTACCGTGGAGGTGGGGAGGATGGAGCATGAAGCAAGCCAAGCTCCAGGTTTCTCAGGATGGTTGCCAGGACGGGATGGATCAGGCTCTTCGGCTACTGGGGTTAGCAAGCAGGGAAAAATTACAACTACTACAAAAAGGTGCTCTGTTTCATAAAGTCATACTATGAAAAAAAAGAAACTACAACAAATTAATCAAACATACCATGTGTTGTTACGAGAACTACGAAAAAAAACAAAACATGCAACTGTTTATTTTAGTTTTGTCCGTGCAATTAACAAGTTCTCAAACAAAATACAAAAGTGCTTCAGGCATTCGGTTTTTACTTACAAGATGTTAAAATGAGTTTCAATTTAAATAATTAAGAAGAATCTACTTTTTAAAAACAAGTAGTCCTAAACGGTTCACCCCTGACCTTTGGGTCGACTCACATTCCCTACAACAGGGGGACCAAGACGTTCTCTGGGAACAGGTTGATTGTCTCTGTAGTCTGGAGGGGCTTCAGTTAAGAAGTTGGAAGGCACAAGTCCGCGAACACCGTTGATCTCACCCATAAAGAACCCATCTTCATCCATATCACCATATACATAGATAACATCTCCAGTATTAAATGATAGCTCCATCTGGAGACAAAAAATTTAAAAGGTACAAATTATTACAGCAATGTAAATATCAAACAAATTATTACCAAAACATTTTTGATTTAGAGAGAAAAAAAAAGTTAAATATTGGCCACCATTTTAATTTTCTAGTTTACGTACTGATCAGAAAATATCTAAAGAAATATTAATTTATTCATCTCATGCCGAGCTTGCTTAATTCAACCAATAATATATATTTTTTTAATCTTTATGTTGCTCACTGTACCATTACAACTCAAACTGACATCGACACTAGAGAAATGAATATCAGGTCTGAAGAACAAACCTCTGCGTCTACATTAGGGGATAGTTCTTGAGCTTGCTTAATTCAACCAATAATATATATTTTTTTAATCTTTATGTTGCTCACTGTACCATTACAACTCAAACTGACATCGACATTAGAGAAATGAATATCAGGTTTGAAGAACAAACCTCTGCGTCTACGTTAGGGGATAGTTCTTGAGGATCGTAATCATAAAGTGCAACCATCTTGCGTAAAGGCATGCTACTTCCAGAATCTATGTCATCTGATAAAAGAAAAAAAGGTACACTGAAATGAAGCATGTTATCAACATGATTCAAAAGCCTTTACAATTATAAAAACTGTTAAAAATAAATGAAGAGGGAAATTATTTATGAATCAATACTAATGGAACATAATTCAATACACTTTCTGAGTCAATTACCAAGAATTTCTGTAAGTGAGATAAATCTTTGATGAAAACTAATATATCCACATGTACAAATATGCAAGACTTTGTTGAATGAAAGAACAGGTTATTATATCACTTTTTACAGTAAGAAAGATATGTTTCTACAACAGGTACGATGTTTCGATCCCTGGTGCGATTATTCTCAAGTATACAAGTTTTAATGGTTAAGAAGGTTCTGGTACTTAAATGAACATTTAAAAATTTAACATGTATTTAAATTCTATAATTGATATTGGTTATTTATCCATGTACATATCAATCCTTGTGAATTGACAGATTATTTATTTATGGCTGAACAGAAAAACGAAACAAAAAGTGAATAAATATAAAAAAAAAAGGAATATGTTAAGTGAAATATTTACTTAATTTTAAGAATGTTTGGGAAAACAATGATCTTATCTACCTGGTAGAGGACGTGGTATCTTATTTACCTGGTAGAGGACGTGGTATCTTATCTACCTGGTAGAGGACGTGGTATCTTATCTACCTGGTAGAGGACGTGGTATCTTATCTACCTGGTAGA